AAGTATATATATATATATATATATATATATATATATGACATAAAAGTGCAGAGAAATTGTGTGCTATATTTGGGTCATCATATGGGAAAAGTGGTTTCCTCTAAAGAAAGGGGCAAAACATGAGAGGCAAGTCCTCCCCTTTGAGAGAAGAGAGTTTCTTATGGAGAGAAACTCCGTGTTGTGCCTCATGTTGATTGAGAGGCTGGTTTTTTGTAGAGAAGCGGCTCCAATGAATATTTTGGGTGGTTTCTCTTTTTTAGTAAAACAAAGTCTCGGTTGGTTTTCTTGTAGAGAAGCGGTTACCATGAATATTTTTTGTGGTTTCTCCTTTTTATTGAGAAAAAGTCTCGGCTGTTCTCAAGGTTCTCCTCCTGGATAATGGTTTAGCTGTAGAATAGAGATAGTCTCTTCCTGGACAGTGGTTTAATTATAGAACAAAGATGAGAGATCAATGAGTGGTGCTCATTGGGAGACTGGGGGTTTTGTCCAGTGTTAGAGAGGTAAGTCTTTGTTTCAAAATCTATAATGTAACTTTCATTGGTGTAGTGGATTTCAGTTTGCCATACCTATGGATGTAGTCCCTTTTGAGGTGAACTAAGTAAATCTTTGTGCCTTTGTGGTGTGTATGTTTCATGCTTTCTTTATCGTACTATGGCTCGTGCTCTCACATATTTTGTTTCTAGCTAGATAAGTACACGATCTTTGTAGAATCCAACTTTAGGATTCTTGTTTCTGCATCTAAGAGGGTTCTTAAATCCTAACATAATCCAAGAGGTGATGTATAAGTAATTTACTAAGCCATTAAACATAAATTTATTCCCTTCTATTTCAAGTCAATTTAATCTACATGGAGAGACTCTATGAAGGTATTAGAAAGCAATAAAGCATACAATTTTAAGGAATAAAATTTTAAAAAAGCAATACGGTGGCCGACACACTTGCTAAAAAAGTCATGGTTTTTTTTTTATGCCGTTGTTTGGCACATTAGACCATCTTATTGTATTTCCCTTCTTTTTACTCCATGATGTTGCGCAATTGCGCCATCGAAAGGTTGCAAATTTCTGAGTTATATATTTTTTTTATTATTTAATGAAAAATGGGTAGGGGCCTTTCCCCTCCATTGACTTACCCAACAAAAAAAAAATACACATTTTAGCATGGAGAGAGGAATTCTAATTAATATGGTTTTAGTGTAACTTGCAATGTGATAGAATGGAAATGAAGTACATAATGGATTTAGCCAGGTTGAAATTCATCGATTGGACTCAGAGTTGTCCTGGTGGTTCGTCCGGTCCAAGGACCCTAGAATGGCCCGATACTCCTACTTTTTTAATTTAATTT